AAAAAAAAATCTAGCATTAAAAGCGCTACTTGAAACGTAGTCTTGGAAGAAAACTTTCAAAGATTAACAAACACTATCATTTTTCCTCAAAGAGATGTGTAATGTACTAATAAATTGCGTGTTTTACGCTGTTTCCCATAGCTGCGCAATTTTGAGTTGTCAAGTAAACAACATAATATTTCGAAGAGAAGCACTTCTCTCTTTAATTTCCTAAAATTATTTAAGAATGTCGGCCAGGCCGCTTAGACTATCACATAAGGCAGTTCGCACTACCGAAAATATGGGAGCCCAGTAGCAGTACTGATCAGCATCACAGTACTTTAATTTTGCGCTCTCTTTAATGTAGGGACAGTAATTTGACTTACGAATTGCTACTTCGCAAATCAACTCAAATTGTCCCATCGCGTTATCGAACCCGCGAAAGAGTGGCTGGTGTGCGACAACACTACCCTTGCACTACTCCTCGGAAACAGCTGCAGGCCTAGCATTTGCTCCAGAAATTTGCAAGCTCTATCTTCGTCTCCAACACTATACAAATACAAAATAAAATATTTATTTTGAAATCTTTGCATAGTAAATGGACCCTATTAATTTATCACAGCCCAACCATAAATTAGCAATAAATTTCGCAGTTCATCTTTGTTACTATGGAATGAAGCGTCACACTATGCAGTATCCAATTTGAAGTGTATCTCAAATGGAGAAAGGAACATTCTTACATTGATCGGTGAGCTCATTCTGATTGTAATGATCACAAAAGCGTATAAATTATTCTTTGTTCAGAAGAAGATACACATGCTGCACAGTTGGTAAAGCAGCAATGCTCCTTCCATCATCGTCATAAGCTCTTGCTGCAAACGATAAAGCTCTAGCAAAAGTGTCAGCAATTCGTTTACGCACGGGAGATAGAAGGATTGCTTCTGTTTCTGCGACTCCAATGTACAGCGAATACGTCGCACAAAGCTAAAATTAGTCGGAGTTAATTTACATGTGAAGACACAAACTGTTTTAGTTATATTGTAGATTAACCAACTTCAGGCCATCCATGTGTTAATGCCCTAACTGCGGACTTTGCCAGTTCGCTCAGTTT